GAAGAGCTGCTCAGGAAATGTGTCCTGGTGATGTCTTTAGCAGTGGCCCCTGCCACTCGGGGGGAGGAGGAGGGAGGCTAATTCAGGAGGGTGGCTGGAATGCAGAAGATAAAAATCCACCCTGTCGTTTATCTTGCATCACTTCTCCACTGTGTGGTCTGAGCACGAGCATCACATTCTTTCTTAATAGCTCTTGGGTCCTTGTTCAGTGCTGGTAAAGCTGAATGTCTCCTGCTGAGCTGCTGTTAATGCTGCTTCCTTCAACACTTTCATGTCTTCAGCTCTCACCTTCGTATGCTTCTTAATGAACGTGGGTTAACTTGATGGTTGAAGGGATTTCAGAACAATAGGTGTGCCTACACATGTGCCAGAAATACAATGCCCATGAGATCATGGTTTCTCTGTTTGGTACATACAGCAGCAGTCACTTTTTTTTTAATAGTTGCATTTCTGTTGATCTGAGCCCTCTGTTCTTCTTGTTTTGTGCATCCTTTCCAAAATGCCATCATATAAACTTGTAGCGGTTCCTGGTGAAGCTCTACCATTACTTTGAGGTGCTTGCTGTTCTTGCTGCAGTGGTTGAATTTTCTCAGGTTAGAGATTAGGTGAGAATATCGTGTGCCGTTTTTCCTCTCTGCCTGTTGCAGGAAAAACCCCACACGACTGACAAGGCCAAAGGTGGTGTTTGTGGGATGGCAGACACAGGCTTGCCGTGTTACCAGAGCTGTCAGTAAAGCAGCAGGTGTAGGCACCACGGCACTTCTAAATGTGCTTCTCTTAAGCTCAATCTGCTATGCACAAGCTTTCTGAACTGTGTGTGGCCACTGATAAGGCAGCACTGTGGTCAGGAAGAGCCATTTCTCATGCTGTTATCTCAAGAACGGAGCTGAAGGTATACCCTCAATCTTTTCTCCTCTGCTATGACCACCTCCAAACTACTTTTGAAACTGAGTTGATACGGATTTTGGACAGGAGAGAGACTGAAATCGATGTCTGTGTGTGTACAGAGCAGAGCTTCTCGTGCTGCTTTTGCTGCTGTGAGAGGATTACAGAGCAGAGAGCAAATGCAATCGTGGTATAAATATTGCTTGCTTAGAGGATAACATGTTTTCATTGCTAATTTTGAGTGGTTCCAGAGTACTGGGGATGCAAGGTGAGTGAGTAGTGTGTTTGGTAGCAGCGCACACTGAAATCCAACAGAAGGACTAATTAGCTAGCAATGCTGAAACACTACGTCAGGTGGGGACACACAATATATTTCACTTTAATTTAAAACAGAACTTTACAATCTGACATTACAAAGCCTTATTTCTTATATATATAGATGCTGGAGTTGTACTTCAAGCAAAAAAAAATGGTTGATTTCTCCCCTGCCCCCAACATTGTTTGCCTGTCTGGGTTGATACAACATGCTTTCTTTTCGGGCCAGCCCTCTGGATACTAATATACATCGTTGTGGTGGCTGCTTTACACTTAATTTTTATGGAAGCCTAAAAGGGGCAAATAAATATATAATCGTGCAACTGTTGCTTATAAAATCACGTTAAATACAAAACATCATTCATAACATTTCTAAATACCATTCCTTGACTTGGTAGTCAGCTCAGGCTTTAACAACAAGAAGTTTGAGTGGCATTGACCACAAAGATCCTTCTTTCTGGTCCTGACAGCGTTGGGATCGGTGCAGAAAACTTCCCGTGGGCGTGTGTGCTCTGAGCACATATATTCATGTGTAAATGGTGGGAAACGATCTGCTCTGCCCACCCTATTGTTCTGTGCTCTTGCTGTGTGTCCATATCAGCTCACAGGGTTGGGTTGGCAGTGTTGCTGTTAAGCTGTTGAAGCAGCTGGTACCCACAGGTGTTTCTGGTAACATGTTCCTTGTGACTTCAGAGCGCTCTGGCTGATCTTTGAAGCCTGGGTGCTGGGCAGGGGGTGTCCAGGAGGCTCTTTGCTGCTGTGGAAGCCTGATTTGTATCTAGGTCTGGGCCCAGCAGTTGCTATGGGCAGGGGTGTTGAGGAAGGAAATAAAAAAGCAGCTACTGATGGATGCAAATAGCCAGAATATTGGGTAGCTTTAAGACGCACCCTTGAGGAAATGTAGATATGCTCCCTTTGGAATACGTGTACATAGAGATCATACCAGTGGTTGCATTTGAGTAAATGCACTGCTTTTAGATAGATATTGCTCTTTCTGGATGCAGTGGCTTTCAAGTAAACCTATTTGTCTGCATGTATGCTCTGAATCCTGCTAAAATGTCAGAATCCATGCTGCACTTTTTAAATTACTGTATGGTGATGCCTTATAAATAAAGCATACGTGCTTAAGTTGTGCTTCCTACAATAACCTTGTTTAATTTGTATTGTTTTTGAGCATTTAAAATTGGCTTTGAGATTCTGGGTTTCCCCGCAACTTGTGTAAAGTCTGGCAACACAACTGATCCCAGAAGATGTACCTCTTGAATGGAGGAGCTGATAGGTGGAGGAAGGGCTAGGAAGGGGGATGTAAAGAAAGTATCTGTTCGATGCAGAAGCCAGCAAAGCAGAGAAGTGGGTCATTTATCTAGGTCAAAGTGAGAAGATAGCAGCTTGAAAAACTTGCTTTTAGTTGGTCTTTTGGTCCTAATGGCAGAGCATCTGTCCCTGAACTCGGGCCCCCATGTGAGATCATTGCAGCTCCACCTCTGCAGCGTGTGCTCAGCCCTCAGTCACAGAGGCCAGCGTTCCCAGTACAGCACCGCAGGGCTGTATTTATTTTGGTTTGACCTCTGGATTTTTCTTTAATTTACTTTGGAGAGACAGGCTTTCATTAAAACTTAAGCTGCTTTATGTCACAGGTTTGTTGTTTTTAGGATGGTTTTTTTTTGCAAACAGAATTCTCTTTGTGCAGATTTGACTGGAGACCAAAAAGGTGGCAGCTTCCCTCTTGGCAGGTGTTCTCCCTCCGTGTGCCAGCACCGTTGCCTTCCATGTTACCGTGACAAGCTGGTGTTACTCTGGGAGAAGATTGGGTGGGCGCTGGATTTTTCAAAGGTTAGATAATCTTCTGTCTTCCTTGAGAGCTGTTGGAGAGGGTCCAGAGGAGAGCCACGAAGATGATCAGGGGACTGGAGCACCTCCCCTACGAAGACAGGCTGAGGGAGCTGGGCTTGTTCAGCCTGGAGAAAAGAAGGCTGCGGGGTGACCTCATTGCAGCCTTTCAGTACCTAAAGGGAGCCTACGAACAGGAGGGGAATCAGCTCTTTGAAAGGGTAGAATAACAGCAGGACAAGGGGAAACGGTTTTAAGCTGAGGGAGAGAAGATGTCAGGGGGAAGTTCTTCACAGAGAGAGTGGTGAGGTGCTGGAACAGGCTGCCCAGAGAGGTGGTAGATGCCCCGTCCCTGGAGGTGTTCAAAGCCAGATTGGATGGGGCCCTGGGCAGCCTGGTCTAGCATTAAATGGGGGGAGGTTGGTGGCCCTGCCTGTGGCAGAGGGGTTGGAGATTCATGATCCTTGAGGTCCCTTCCAACCCGGGCCATTCTGTGAAACTCAGGATTGTGGAGTGGAAAGCTGAGTTCTGTTGTCTGAGCTGCAGGCTTCCTGTGCCTATCATTGAAGCCATTAAAACCCTGCCTTAGGCTGCTTGGACAGTGGGAATGAAAATACTTCCTTCATGAGGGCACAGATGCTTGGCCTGCACGTGTGACTGAAAGGCAGCGAAATACTGCTGCCTGTGTAGGTGCTTTGGGACAGAATAGCACCTATTTCTCCAAGTTGCATCATGTGGCTGTAGTTTGGCCTTGTGCAAGCAGCAGCTGTGTGCTCCTGGCTGAGCTGAACAAGCAGAGCTGATGCTGGGCTGCTGATGGCAGTAATGGCATTGTGTGTGCTGCATTTAATTGGAGACATCTGTTGGCCTTCTGCTTACAGGTGCTGCTAGTTCAGCAAATGAACAGAACTGTTCCCTCCCAGGGCATTTGGTGTTGCAGGTGTACATAGTGGCAAAGCCCACGGTGCATGGCACAGTGCTGGACAACTTCACAGGTATTTCCCAGTCAGCAATGGATTCCTGTTTGCATCTCTGTGCAGTTCTTTTTCCTTACTGCTCTCCTTAGAGAGAAGATAGCTATAATGCAGTGATTTTCCTCCCCATGGAGGGGGAGAGTGATGGAGATGACCTTTAAGGTCACAGAATCACCAAGGTTGGAAAAGACCTACAAGATCATCCAGTCTAACCATCCACCAATAGTTCTCACTAAACCATGTCCCTCAACACAATGTCTGAAAATTCCTTGAACACCTCCAGGGTCGGTGACTTCATCGCCTCCCTGGGCAGCCTATTCCAGTGCCTGACTGCTCTTTCAGAGAAGTGTTTCCTAACGTCCAGCCTGAATTTCCCCTAATGCAGCTTGGAGCCTCTAGTCCTGTCACTAGAAGAGGCCAACAGAGCAATAAGGTCTCCCCTGAGCCTCCTCTTCTCCAGACTGAACAATCCCAGCTCCTTTAGCCACCCCTCCTAAGGCCTGTGCTCCTGACCCCTCACCAGCTTTGTCACCTTCTTTGAACCCGCTCCAGGGCCTCAATGTTTTCCTTGCATTGGGGCCCCAAACTGGACACAGTACTGGAGGTGCTGCCTCACCAGAGCTGAGTACAAGCAGACAATCACTTCCCTGTTCTTGCTGGCACCGCAGCCATTCTGTGTCCTGGGTCGGCTTTCCCGAATCACAGTTCGGGACTGTTTGTTCTGGGCTGCGTCGCGCTGTCCCGGGTGCATTCGGCGAGGAGCCGGATGTACGGTGCCCGTCTGAGGTCTGTGCGTACGGGAAACCTCGTGGCAAGCCTACGACTGCCGCCGGGGCGTCACCGCGGACCTCCGGGCCGAGGCACCGGCTGCGGGCACCGCTGGGCGCGGCGCCCCGGGCAGCTCCAGGCCCGGCGGGAGGCGGAGCGGGGCGGGCCGGGCGGAGCAGCCGCCCCCCGCTGGCCATTGGCGGGGCCGGGCGGGGCGGGCGGCGCGGCCGGGGAGAGCGGCGAGAGGCCGCGGCGTGCCGAGCCGTGCCCCGCGGCGCCCCGCTCCGCCGGACCATGGTCGGGGATCAGTGCAGCCTGCCCGCCGAACGGCCCGTCCTCGCGCAGAGCCCTAAGGCCGGACTGAGCTGCAAGATGGTGCTGCAGGCGGTGGGCAAGGTGCTGCGGTAAGGAGGCTCGGCGGCCGCGGGGAGGAGGAAAGGCGGCGGGAGGCGTGCGCCCGGGTTACGGGGTTAAGGTGCCGCAACCGCCGGGTTCTGCGCGGCGGCCGGGGCTGGAAGTTGGAGTGGCGGTAGCTGCTCGGGGGAGACGCGTGTCCGCCTATAGCGCTGCACGCCGCGGCTGCCGCTGCTCCCCGAGAGCCGGGCTTCTTGGGCGCAAGCAGACGGCGAGGGACCTGGTTCTCCCGGATAAGGCGTCTGAGCGAGGCTCCGCACGTGCTTTGGCATGTCTGGTGCAGGAATGTCGTGTAAGACGAGGGGAAAAAATTGCTCATGCGGCTCGGGAGTTTCGTGAAGGGTGAGACGTGTATGACTGCCGAGACCAAAACCAGACTCTTTGGCAGAGGACAGAGCGCAGTAATATGATTCAGAGGAGTTCAAACCCGTCCTGGTTTGCAGGGAAAAACGTCACTGCAAACATTAGGATTAGTAGCCTTGCTCTTCAACAACTGCAGCTTTTTATTTTGGCTAAATGCGGTTGGGTATTTTCTCGGCTGGATGAAGAATGGCAGCGCTGCTCCAAAAAGGACCCTTGTTCCTCCAGCGTAACTTTATTTGGCAAGCTTTCATTTGTCCCCGTTCCTACTACTCGTTGCCAATTGTTAAATGTTTGTCAACAGAAACATTATCCCTCTCTTCCTCTGACTCATGCCTTCTCTCCCCGGACGGGTTTGGGGAGCCGTTTATTAAGGCTGGGATGGAGCTGCCGTGTAAATGAGGCACGTTCACTGGTGCAGGCAGCTCGATAAGAACCGCTCAGAGCTGCTTTTCAAGAAGGTGCTGTGTTACACTCAAGCTTTTTCTGTAATAAAATAAAAAATAAAAAAAATCCTTCCTGTGGAAAGCGTTAGTTTAGGGAACTCAGGTTTCTTTCTCAGCATTTAACAAGGTTAACATCAATTCTTGGTATTTTCGGGGGGGTTAACACCACTCAATATGGTGTTACGCAGCTGGTCATATCATAAAATCCCTTGGCTTCAGCTTGCTATTCATGCTGGGAGCCTTTTGAAGTTCTTGGGAGCTGCTCAGTTGGCAGCAGTCCCAGATGTAAATAGATGGGTGCCTCTGCAGGGAAGTAGTGCCAAGCCTTTTGTTCGGCATCTCTGGCAGTTTATCATAAAGCGTAGGTAACTTCCTGTGACTTGAGCAGCGGGGCAGATTTCTGTGTGTTCAGTGAGCACTTTTTCATAAAGTGTAACAAAAGCTCTTCCTTTCTCCCACAACTGGACTACGTGCAGAAGTTGCACGTAACTTTATTTGCTTTTTCTTCTTGATGTTTCTTTACTGCACAAGCTATAAAACTATGGTGAAAGCAGGAAAAAGTTGCTGTTGTACCTGAAATAATTTGGACTTGAATTAACAACAAACACTTACCTTGCTGCAGCTGTGACTGGATAGAGGTGATTCGTGTTTTGTGGGGTTTTTGTGTGCTTTAATATGTCTTTTCGTTCTGAGTTATCTCCTTTTTGAGTTTAGAAGCGTGAAGTAACAAATCTTTCTTTAGACTGGTTCTCTTGGTTCTTTCCTTGCATGTACACATGACCTTATGTGTGTTGTTTAATTTTGCTTTTCAGCTTTTGTTCTGTAAAAATATAAACTCGTATTCTGCTAAGAGCTCAGAGGAGGCCAGTAACTGGCCAGGAGCCCATGTAAATAGCCAGTCACCAAAATGTCTTTACTCCAAAGAAGTCTTTACTGCAAAAATCAGGTGCTTGAAGTGGGAGCCCCGCAATGGTAGAAAAGGGAACCATGTGGGACCTGGTTTAAGTTAAAAAATGGGAGCTTGTTGGTGCCAGTTGTGGAGGGATTTCTTGAACATAGGCATCTACGGCTGAGCTTTGTGCACTGCATTGCTGGTGGAAAAGAACAGGACACTTGAACATAACCGAATTCAGAGATGCATTGCCAGCCTGGTAAAGAGTGCCTGGTACTCTTGTTGGCATAGATGTTGTAGTTGTATGGGGTTAAGTAAGATGAGTCCTACTCTTGTTGGAATGGCCAACCATCTATTTCAGAGTAAGTGCAGGGCAATCAAAGACCACTTCTGAGCCCACCTGTCTGAAACGTTGCTCACAGGAGTCCAGTAACTGGCCAGGAGCCCATGTAAATAGCGAGTCACCAAAGGGTCATCAAAGAGTCACCAAAGGTTTTCTGTAGCCTGTGCAGAAGATGAATCAACGCAAAGTTTTGGGTGAAGCCACTTTTCTTGTGTTGGTCTGGCCTTATCATGGCATGGGGATGAGACCAGAGACTTCTTGCTTGTGTATAATGTTACAAACAGCCTGCTGTGCTTTAGTCCTGGGAACCATCACTGTCACCTCTCCCACACACCGCACCATCCCTCTGCAGGCCACCAAGCACTTGTAGGACATCACACCTGAGAAGGGACAGAGTGCCCAGCTTCTCTCTGACTTCCCTGCTTCTGTCCCTCTGAGGATTTACTGGTTGGCAATTAGAAGGCTCAGTTCTCCTGTAAGGCACTGAAGCAGTATAACTTTCCTCTATAGGGAGCCCTATGTACAGTAGTTAAGTGAGCTGTGGATGCCTGTAAGTAACATGCTCTCTGGGAGCTTTCAGTATTCCTGTTCTCGCTGCTTGGTGATGTAGGCTGTGGTCCTCCTGATTGCTGCTGCCAAATAGTGCCTGCGTCACACTAGGAGTAAGAGCTGCCAAAGGAAAAATGGGTTCTGGGAGGGAAACGGAGGGTATTCATTCACGAGAAGCAGCAGCCAATATGAACACCTGAGAAGTGTTGAAAAGAGTGTGGGGAAAGACAACTGAACCAGAAAGGGCAAAAAACGTAACAATAGCAGCAGATGTGCTCTCAGCCTTTCTCATTAATTTTTTATGAAAGCGAATGTTAGGTTTGTTATTTTGTAAATTATTAGTGATTCAACTATGAAGAACTTAGGAGATGCAAATATCTTTCATCATACAGGCTAGCAAACTGTGTTTAACATTTAAGGGGTGGAACCAAGACTCCATGCTTCTAATGATTTAAAAAAAAAAAAAAATTAAAATACCATTGGAAAAATGCCATCTCCCCTTTTAAATTAATCACAGCACAGCTGAGATGAAGTTGTGTGTTCCTTAGCCCAGTGCTTAATTAGGGCTTTCATTTTAATTCAGATGTTTTTGAAATACGTTGATCTCATTTTTTCCCTCTCCTGTAATGAACTGTGTGTAATTTTTTTAGCCAGTGGTTGGAAAGGGGGGAAGAAACAAAACACCAAAAGGGGTGCAGTTTTTCTGTGTGTTTTTTTCCTAGAAGTTGTTGGTTCTAGGGAGAGACAGAAGGGGAGGGGAAAAAAGAGTGTTGTAGAAACCTTGAATACTGTTCTACTTTTAAAAACTGCCGATGACCATGCAGAAGTGTGCTTTTTACTGGCTTTGAACAGCAGAAACGGAAGGAAAAGTTGAGCTGCAGGAGGCATCTCCCCTTCTTGGTCCCCACAGGTAACTGAGCTGGCTGTATGAACTGGCAGCTGCTGCTCAGAGCTGTGGGTGGGGACATGAGGACATGGTTTGCAGTGCCTGTGTCAGAGGCAGAGTCCTGATTCAGGTGCAGCTCAGAATTGCAGCATTTGCTGTGCTATAGCAATGCAAGTCCTGCATGGATGGATCTCAGAAAATACTTACCATGCATCTTCGTTGTCAGTGCTTATCCTTTCCAGCTCCAGTAAAACCTGGTCCTTCTAGATAGTTGATGAAGAATTGGGGATATGGTGTTGCAGAAGATTAGTGATGAGGGCTACAGAATTGTGATACCGTTGTCTGATCACTTCTGATCAAGTATGGTACTTTTTGTATGTACATGTAGTCCAGGATGAGTGTGGGAATAGATAACTCCTTTCTCCTGAGAGAGCCTTCTGTCTTACAGTGATGTGCAGGGATTGATTTGGAAACCAAAGTGAAAAACAAAGCACTTTCTGTGTAGGCATACTTACTGTGGGCAGTACTAATGAAGTGGAATTCTTACAGTCACTTCTCAAGAATGTAGCAATTTGTCTTGTGATAGTGTGATAAATGATTCTATCGTAGATGAATTGACAAGCTCGTGTTGGCATTTTGGATGGCACTTAGATATTCTTACACCCAATGCTTTGAAATTGAAAAAATAATAATAACCCTTATCTTCCTTGATTTGTAGCAAAATCAGAAAGAAAACAGCTTCATTTTGACATTGGCTTTTGTTTGTCAGTGATTGTGCAGTCATCCTAAACGTGTTCATGAAACAGGATACAGGTGGGTAGAAGCAGAGCATGTTTGCTGGGGCTGCCTCGGCTCACACAGCCGAATGCGTGGCATGTGCCTATCGACAAGGCTGAAGCAAGTATTTTAAAAATAAATCCATTTATATCCTGCTTTAGGTTGAAACTGTTTTCAACAATTTAGTCCAGTGTACGGTATTTATAAGTAATTAACACTACCCAATCTGATTAATGCACAAATTGGAGGAGGGAAGGGAGAAGCAAAGGAATGGAGAAGGCAGTGTGCTGGGAAGGGGCTGGTAGGCAAAACCATGTCAGCTATTTTTATCCTGTGCCTGTTCCTTCTCCCTCCCACAACTTTCCATTGTACCAAAATAGTTCAAAATGTTTATGGTTCAGGGCAACTGACATCACTAATTGTCCTGCTGTGTCTCGCTGAATATTTCTGTTACAGCAGGTGATTTCTTGTTCAGTGACATCCACGGGACTCTTGCTGTGCTGCTTGGGAAGGACAAAAGGCACTGTGGGTCAGCACCGTCTTGTGCTCTGTCAAGGTGTGACTAGGCCATGGGGCTTTGTGCGTCTGAAAGCATGGATGGGCTTTTGGAGATCCTTCTTTCACCTGAGTGTCCTGGCCCAGGACAGAGCAGGCTGCAGAGGACTCACCCAGCCAGGGCAGGCAATTCCCTGTGTGTGCAGGTAGTAAAGTTGCTCCTGGTGGGGGCTGCAAAGTTG